CTAACAGACATAAACGGAGAAGCTGGAACACTATTTTAAAAGTATAACTCCATGAAACGGCTAAATGGTTTGGTGACATTTAAATAAAGATTTATGGTCTGGGGAAATATAAGGAAACTCAGTTTGAAACCATCATAGATGATAGGACTGCTGTCTCAGGATTGACTGGTTAATTGTTTGGTCCATATATTGTTAACAGGACAGACTGTCTGGGAATATTAAGGTGTTACCATTGATAAGGTGAAAGGTGCTACACCAATGAGCCTGAGTGACTGCGAGCTTCATTTATGGCTACATTTACAGAACATCTTATTAGTGTAGCTAATCCAAGATGGAATCCAAGATGGCGCCAGTGTGTACGCCAGGCCGTCTTCGTCTCCCCAAGCTCTGAGTACTGCTTGCCGTTTTGCTTTATGTATGATTCCCGGCTGTTTTTGCACTAATTGCCTATGATCGTCAAACTCTTTTGAATCTTTGACCATTGAACCATCAAACGCCAGACGTACGCTGGGAACCAGGGACTTTCCCCCCCGCTTTCGATGGATATTCTTCCCCTCGTACGCCACCTGACTTTTGCCCCCCTACAGAAAAAAACGACCTAGGAGACAGGGTAAACGGAGCGGTATCCGTGAATGCATCAAGGCCTAGCTAAAGTCACACGAAGTGATTAATCACCATGTTATCTTGGATATTTTACGTTCCTCCCCATCCTTCCAGGACTGGTCTACCTTTAGGCTGATTCGCCATGTCGGCCAGCATGCCCACTTGGTCTACCTGCTCGGTGTTGGATGCAGACCTCCAGAGGTGGCGTGAAGCACAACAAATCTACGCCTGTTGAGGCGCACTCCTAGAAGTGATAATGTGACTGCTCAACGCCAGCTTATTAAAGAACAAGTCCTTAATCCTAAATGACTTTTTTCTCTCATCAAGGTGAGATTTCTTGTTCCTGACGGAGACTTGGGTACGCCCCGGTGAGTCCCTGTCCTTTTTGGAACTTCTTCCCCCAAACTGTGCCTTTCTGAGCTGTCCCAGGACCTCGGGTAGAGGTGGAGGGCTAGCCTCGGTCTTTAAAAACAAAGTAAAACGAGTACGGCAATTGCCTCCTGCCATGTACTCCAAGGCCACACACTTGATCTGGTATTGTCATATGGTCTGGACATGCACATTACGGATATAAGCGACGCTCGGATCTCGGACCACTTCCCAGTCATGTTTGATATTGAACTTTGTAATGTGGAATTGAATTGTGCCAAGTGCGCACGATTAATCCTGAGATTACCAGCTTCTCTGTGGCCTTTACTAACTCTACTTTTTATGATACCAACTCTAATTCAGCTATATCAGTTGATGAATTCTCTAACTCCTTTATTTCAACATGCTCCTCGATTTTAAACACTGTGGCTCCATTAAGGGCTAAACGCTTCAAGCCCACTTACCAACCATGGCTGAATGAATCCACTCGCGCTCTCAGGCGTGAATGTCGCCGAGCAGAGAGGAAATGGAAAAAAGGCAAACTTCAGGTGTCCCTGGAAATCCTGCATAACTGCCGATCAAAATATCAGAAGACTGTCAAAATTGCAAAAGCTTCCTTCCTGACAGAACTTATTACTGACCACAGTCACAAGCCACAAGTTCTGTTTAAAATCTTTAATTCAGTTGATAACCCTGCTCTACGCCTCCCTGGCTCTCTGTGAAAAATTCTTACATTACTTTATAGATAAAATTTCAGCACTAAGGGCACCATATCTACCGGCAGTTAACCAAACCCCAGTTTCTGAATGCTCTGCGGGTTTTCAACAGTTTGAGCCTGTATCTTTTTCAACTCTGAAAGAAATTATTGATCATATGAGTAACTCTAATACGCTGCATGACATTCTACCTTCCCACATTATTAAGGAACCTCTGACTACTATCGGTCTCTCTATTTTACTTCTAATGAACTCTTCACTGTCATCAGGCTGTGTTCCGGCACAGGCCACCCCAGGTTTCCACCCCAAAGCTAAAACAATAAAATTCAATCAAATGTACGATTATGTTTTCACAGTGAAGCTCAGATATCCGAGTGTAAGTGAATGCAGCATCA